GTTTCCCCTGAACTACTTGTGCGATATTCTTCCCACACTCCCTACCAACAGCTTCCAGTGAGGGTAGTGGGACCTTTGCTGTTGTGCAGTTCCAGTGTGATGATGCTCAGCAAAATAGTAGACTTTTAAAATCTATATTAAGTTATGTCAGCATTTCTCTTTGTTACTGAGGACTCTGCGTCTCCTGCTTGTACACTGAAGCCCCCAGTAATGATGATTCCAGTCTTGGATATCATAAAGTCTAGACCACCACAACCAAGGACATGAAGGACAGTCCTTAGGGTCAGATGTGAAGTGTAGGAGGGCAAGCATCCTTGTCTTCATCTCCTGCTCTCCTGGAAAACCCTCATGGCAAGGGAATGAGTGTCTGACATGATTCTTGCTCTGTCTTTGCACGGTGATATATGTGGCTAAAGATGCTGGATTTAGTTGCTGTTTTATAGTAAACCCCTTCTGTCCTTCCTTCTTCCACCTGCAAAGCAGGAAACATCCTAAAGAGCAGTCACTGGAAAGAAGGAGCATTATGAGGATGCTCCTTTAAAATAACAGCCTTAGGGGTTGTAAATAGTAATGGTAGTTTTTGCAAACTGTGTGCCCTGGTGTCTGTAGTATTTGCTTCACAGTTATGAAAACAATATATTGGAAATGAAAAAAAAATATTCAGGTGAGAAAGCTTTATCTTAGTGGTCTGCACATTCTAAGTAGCTAAGCAAAAGAATACGTTACACTAACACTCTTACATTACTCCTATTACTACACAGTTATATTTGGCAACTGTGATATTTAACTTATACATATATTATATACATATATTTAACATTTTATTATTTTGCTCAGTTTTTTCTTTGGAGTATTAAGATGTTACCATGGTAGATCATGTGAAAAGACTCCGCTCTAAAGGCAAAAACCTTTCCCTGTTATAAAAAATTTGCTAACCAGTTCCAGTGAAAAGAAAATAGAGTTATAATAAGAGAATACTGGCAATCTAGCAGGACTTTAGGGGACTGCAGAAGTTATCACTATCCTTTAACCTTTGGGTATAGATGCCTGTAGCCTCAGCTTGTTCTGTTGGTTTCATGGTATCTTTCATTGTTTATTTCTACTGTTTGTCAAAAGGCTATTTGTCCTTGGACAAGAGAAATTTTCAGAAACATTTTCTCCAATGTCACTAATGTTGTATTAGTGTTACCTGGCTATCTATGTAGAAACTTTCATGAACTTTATTTCACTTGTGGTAGCTCACAGCATTTATTTAAAAGGAACCTAAACTTGCAGTGCCATTTTAAATCAGTTTGTTTAAAACTATACGGAAGGTTGCAGATATTGAAATTTTGGCTTAATAGTGTATTTCAGTTATTTCACAAATTACTTCCTGTTTAAGTCAAATGAAAACAAGCCATTTAAAAACCTAATTACATTAAGGTAGGGACTGTCCGAACACTTCTCTGCTTGACGGTGCCAGAGAGCACCACGTGTACGTGCATACATACTGTGGCATACCAGCTGTGTGCTGGTGTCACTGGCCAAAGAGTCAGGCCCACTGTTTGGTTAAAATGTCTCAACAGCTTCTTTATGTCACGTCACACTTGTGCTCCTCGTGCTCAAAGGGATTCTGTTTGGATTTCGTAATACTGTCTTTCGTGTCATGGTATTTGACGTTAAAACTGATGCTCTTCACAAAAACCCAGCCCAGGCTTCACTGTAGCTGTCTTTCTCTTGGCTTTAAAACCTCTGAAGATATGTCTGCATTACAGAATGATTTTTATGTATCTATCTACAGCTATACAGTATATAATTTAAACTTTGAAATACATAGCAGGGTAGAACCAGGTAAATTAATTTGCTGCGAAGGCACAGAGCTTGCATTCCAGTGACCAGATTCGGCCACTGTCCCAATTTTTCTCTAGTTTGTCTGGTCAGGCTCTCTAACTGAGCAACAGCTATCCCTTCTGAGATAAACAAATATGAAAGAAAATACACGGGATCCATGACAGTCTGGGTGCATCTTTTTTTTCCTTTTTCCTTTTCCGAATCTTAGTCCAGCTGAGACTCTAGCTCCTTCAAGACTACTTTTACAAGCTTCTCCATTAATCCTTTCTTCTTTATATGTCTTGACTGAGAGTTCTATTGCATGTTCTGTGCTTTCTTCTCAAAATTCTCCTTCTATGCATACATTCAACTCATTTTATTTGTAGAGTTGTGGAGTGGTAAAGACAAGAAATCCTTTGTGCCTAACTCAGCCCAGACTCAACAAAATATCATACGAAAAATCCCTGCTAACTCCTCTAATTGTTCTCATTTGACATTATGCTTTATTGCTAGGATAAGTGAAAAGAACTGTTCTTTGATACTTTAGAGGTTGTAGGTAATAACATTGGGTAAGCACTGGAAAATAAACAAATAGGCTTCCAGAACTTGAGGCAATTAGTTGGAAGAGTTTCGTGTCCTGGCCATCTCTTTTTTACTGGAATAGGAAGAGACATAAGAGGAAAATATGTGTTCCTTTTTTTTTTTTTTTTTTGGTAACACTAGCAACACTAGCAGTATTTGATAACATTTCTAATTTAGTCTCCAGGAAAGCATACAAACCGATGAAGAGTTTTTATGTAGTTTGAAACAATTAGTTCTTCTGTCATGTTTTATAAAGAAAGTGTGAGTTGAGGACAAAGATCTCCCTATTCTCTCTTCCAATGCATGAGGTAAATGTGTAAGGATTTATTTTGAAAGATTCAACTTAGGAAGTATTTTAGTTCAATTCACAAGAAAACATCCATCCGATGCAGAGCGTAGAAAGGATTCAGAGATCTGGGGTACAAATGAGTGGCTGAGTATGCACCAAACCGATAGGATTTTGGGAGGTAAGTTCAAATACTGTAGAAAGACCAAAGGGATTTGGGAGAAAGGAGGAGTGAAAATTCTTTAACCTGTGAAGAAAAGTATCCTCTACTCTATTGCTTAAAAACAAATCAAGACTGTAACAACAAAGTTAGCCAGGAAGATGACGGGCAGCTTCAGTAGATTATGCTAGAGCTAGTAGTGCAAATTCTGCATTCCCAAGCGCAAACTAACACAGTAACCCACCAACAGTGCTCGGTTATGAAGCGTGCTCGTGGCAGCATGTCACCCGATACCACAGAAAGCAAGTGAACCATCAGTCATGTTGAAGGCTGAACCGGTTTACAAGTGTGACTGAAGGAAACCAGTCTTTTTTTATGAAAAGCATGAGTTTGATTAAGCCTTTTACAGATCAACAGTTACTGTTGCAATGCGTTTAGAATGGAGTGCAGTTTCTGCGGGATCCAGTGGGTAATTACATATCTTGTATGGAACGAATTATTGCAACTTAAGAATAAAGAGCTCGATCCTGTTCCCAGTGACGTCAATGGGAAAACACCACTTAAAACACAGCTAGGCCCACTGTGCGGAAATGTTGTTTCAAAACAGAGAACTGACTTCACCCTTTCGCGTGTGGTTTTCTGAAGATTCTTGGTTTGGGGAGTATAATGGGTCTCCAGTTTATTACAAATGTTCACCAGAATGCATTTATTAACAGCTGAAGAGTCTGGTGAATGACATGTATACAACAGTGTTTATTTGCGTTATGTATTCTAAGATAAGCTACTGGTTTTGTTTGTTTGTTTGTTTAATTTTTAATAGATTGTTTCTTGAGAATGATCCTACAAATTAGGGGGGGGAAAAGAGTTCTATCAAACCTTTATGTTAAGAAAAAGATCCAAGACCAGTACTAGGTCACTATGCACTGAGCTGTTGGGCGTGCTGTGCTGGCGCACTCCTCAGGTCTATACCTGCAACAGTTTGCAAAATAGACGATTCCTTTTACCAAGACAGGCAGTGCTGAACATAAAATAGTTTTGAAAATGGCTTTGTTCCAGGTAGCAGAATCCATACATTTTTGAGAGGTTGAAGTGTAGTTACCTCTCAGGCTGTTTCACAAGCAAATAGATAAATAAATCTTACACAACAAAGCAATCTGGCAAGATCCTGCATAAAGACAGTGCTGGACGTGTTGGAGACTCTTTTATAAATGAAGGAACTGATGTAGAACTTTTAACAACGTTTTTGTGCCAGCGTGAAACTGTCAGCCAGCCCTGAACCTCCAGTGTAGAAGTGAGGAGTTTACAGTTGTTCCGGAGCATTAAAGCATTACAAGTGACATTTATCTGTCTCCAGCTACTAACTCAGACCTCATCACAAAGGAATTGTTTTGAAAAACTCCTCCCAGACTGTGATCATAACCCGAGTGGTCCTACAGATGGTTTGCAGTAGTTAAGCAAATAAAACTGCCAGCAATTATTTTCACAAAATAAATCTTTTTGTTTCTTGTCTAATCCGAACAGATCTGTGTCAACCTTGGGGAAAGGCATCTGGGAATCTTACCGTTTTGGTGGTTTCTTTTACTTCACTGGCTATATATTTCAAATCTTGAGTGACTTTTATTTTCCATGGCATAACTAATGACTAGTAAAATAAGACATCTTGGAACAAGACATCTGTTCCCAATCATTGCGGTACCCAGACGAGCCCTGTGAGCAATGCCAGCCTCCTGCTCTATGGTGCTGTGGCCTCATGGTGTTTGCGAAAAATCCCCTTGTGCGCCGCCGTTTTGTCTCCTTGCTGTTTGCCTGCAGTTTGCTCAAAAAAAAATTCCTGCTAGGCAGCTCCCTGCATTGCTCATTCACATCTATTTTCCCAGGGACAAAATTCCAAAGGAGGTTGCAAGGATAAGGCAACTGAGGGCATTTGAGATTTGAGCTGTCAGTTTTGTTTTGGGTTTTTTTTTGAGGGAGGAGGACGACAACTGCAGTGAGTCATGCTTTCTTTCTGATACACTAAAAAGCAGCTATTCTACTAATGAAACAACTAAATACAGAGCTATATCATTTAATATAAAAATATGATAACACTTTTTATTGATTTTTTTTAAAAAAACAAACTGTTGACAGAGCCAGGATATGTGAAACTTCCTTCCTGTATTGTAGGTTGTCTTTGTGAGCTGGTGTAAAAGCTTCTGGGACTGTGGACTTGTGGCGCTGGATGACATATCACTGAGCCTGGGAAGCTGCCAGGCTGTTGGTAAGACTGTGTATTTTTGTCTTCCAGTGACTGCTACCCTCCCTGTCCCTTTTTTAATAAAAGGTCATCTTACATCTTCATTTTCCAACCCCATCCTACAGATGTCTTATATCCACTGTTTTTTATTTTTATTTTATTTCATTTCATTTCATTTCATTTTGCTGCAAGTATTGCGCGAATCCCATTTTTGCAATAGCATATTTATGGGGAGGACCATTTTTTTTCACAGTGGTACCAACCAAAATCTAATTAACCCCACTGACTGCAGTGTAGTGGTAGATTATTGAGCATTCTTTGGAGGGCATTACAATTTAAAAAAAAAAAAAGTCACAGAGGCAGGTGCAGTTTCCAACTGAGTCTTAAAACTAGGAGACCAGAAGCAGATTCAAAAGCAGCATTTTCAAATGACAGTATTGTTTTTTAATCTAAAAGTACAGTTACGTGAGGCCAAGCTATAGTCCCTTACCTGAGCTGCAGTTCTCTAAGTACAAAAAAGCCGCCTTCCCGCAGTGGGAGGAACAGGTGAGTCTTCTGAGCGAGTCTTTACGCTCTGACATGTGCAGTTCTCTGAACTCACCCAGATTCCCTCTTCTGGGGGCTTTTTGAGGCTTGACAGTACAACAGTTGCATCCTATTTTAGGAACCATTCTCATGAGACAGGTCCAATCTATAATCCTATTCTTATTCTGAATAAAGTTGTGCCTTTGAAATGGTGATGAAGCTGACTTATGATGCCTTTCATGTTACCCTGTTATCGTACCTCTTTTCACTGGACTTCATGCATCCTGTCAGCTAATGATTATTGAGCAGAGGAAGTTATGCATATAAAACAACACGCGGGTTTTTTATAAAATAATCCCAACAGTTATTGAGTTTGCCTGTCTGTGCTTCCTAAGAAATTGTAAAAAGAACCGGAGATGCAAACCAGATACTTGGATGTATAGCTTATCACAGAGAGCAGCAAAAATTACACAATACCCAGATTGCATGAGGCTCTTACACACACACACACACACACACACACACACAAAAAACGGAACTTGCAGGTTTTTATCGTAAGAACCCAAAAGACCTGAAGACCTGAAAGACACTTGCTCAGTTTCTGTCCAGCACCTGAATTCTGAACTTCCTCTCTCCTGCATCGCAGTAGAATTGCAAACACTGAAAATGTTAAGAATACCAATACATGATAGAGAGCCAAGCTAGCACACAGATTTCCTCAAAGATGTGAAGAAAATTAAATGAATGCTATTTCATGTTGAAGCTAATATTTATAGGCTTGTGACTGCTGCTGACTAGATACAACAAATGCTCTCAACAGGTGATTGAACACATTAAATTTATCTAATCCCTCCATACGTCTGTCTAATATATCTGTAGCTTTAAACAGTGGCCTTTCATTACAGATCTGTTGCCAGCCAATCCTGGAGAATGCACTTTTGAGAAGGACGAGTGTATGTTCACGCAGAAGAAGCAAGGCCGTGGGAGCTGGCGCAGGAGGAGGGGTCCCACTCCCACCTCTTACACTGGGCCCAGAGGAGACCACACTACTGGGGTAGGTGAGTTCAGCTTCACATTGACCTTTCAGAACAGAAGGGGATCTCTAAATTACAAGTACTTCGAAGTGATAACTTAGAACACAGGGAAGGTTTCTATACCTCTGTTCAGAACAACTATTAAACAGTCGAGTTTCTTAGGGACCCGCAGAGTAAGCTGGTTTTGAGAATGTGATGATTAAACTGAATTACTGTGGAAAAGTGAAAAAAAAAATTGATGCTCATGTCCCACAGTAGTCTCTTGGGAGAAAAAAAAAAGGGAGGGGGGACTCTGCAGCAAGAGACTAACCCCCAAATTTCTGTGAGTATTCCCTTAAAATGTGAGCTAGTTGGTGGGAGCTCAAGTCTTCAGCACGAACACCTTGTTGTTCAAAGTTAGAAGAAACAACAGGTTATAAAACATAAATCCTATCCAGCACTTAATCTGCAGAGCGAGTACTTAGGCAAGCAGGGCTCTTAGGGAGGAGTGAGCGCACAGAAAACTGTCAGAATTGCTCCCACGGTGGACACAGTAGCTGCTGACTTTCATAAATAAGGAGCTATTTTATAGCCTTTGGTACTCACTCCAGCAATGGGGGACTTTGAGCAGGAATTCCTCTGACTTCGGTATTACGGATAAAACTTCTGAGCTCTGAAGGCTTGCAAAGGCTTAAAAAGGCTTTGTGGATCATGGGATTTCTCCTCACTCGCAGTGGTAACACTCATGTTGATGAGAATGTTTTAATTTGGCTTGAAAATTTCAGGCTGCCAAGAAATCATGTTCTTCCACTGTCTGTTCTAAACAGTGCTGATTCCAAGTATAAATATGAGTAGCTTTCAATTATAAGCAAGTTTTAAGCTGTGAAACCCCTCTTTACGTGTTCTGAAATAAAATGAACATTACTTGTAAATTGGAGCATATTCTGAGCAGATGCAGTTGGTGGACCTCCTGGAGAAGCACGTGTAGACCATCTCAGTGCTGCCTGGAACACTTTCTACACGATATGATGTGAAAGGATTGCATCATTTTAAAATTGTTAGCTATTTTGGTGGGTAACTACACCTTACTTAATAGAAGGAGTCAATGTGCAGGTTTGTTTGCTGCATTTGTTTAACTGTCATCCTCTATGAAATGTCACGTATTTTTCCTCTTCCAAACACCCCATGTCCCAGATCTTATGCTCCCAAGGTCAAATCCTCTTAGGTGGATGTAGTTATTTATATAGTTAATGAAGGAACAGCTCTTTGGTTTGAATTGACTATTAGCTTAATTTTCTTAATTTTTAAAGCAGAGAGAGCCTTCAGACCTATTTTGTGTTTATGAAGATCACTAGCCATTCTGAAGTTTGAAACTGACGACTTGTCCTTATAATTTGTGAAGCATAAGTATCTTTTAAGCTTGGGCTGTGTCAAGAAAACAAGTTTACAGCAATATTTATTCCTTGCATCACACATCTGTTTGTAGCAGAATGTATTGAGAAAAATACAGACTTGAATTCAAAAACCCAGAACTAATCTAGTCTTTCCAACAAGTATCTCTAAGGCCTTAAAGCCTTAAAAAGCAAACTTTTTTTATTGTGCTGTATTACTAGTTGTAACTCTTAAGCAGAGTCAGCATCAAAATTCCTGTGACCAGGCATGCATTAGGCCTTGGGAATTTCCTCCAAAACACTGTATGAAGTGGTCTTGCCATTACAGATCCACAGCTGCAGATGATTTGATTCCTCCTGCCGGCTGGCAGAGCGGGGCCTCGCGATGCACAGGCCCCTTGGGAGGGCACTGGGGTGTTTCCCGTCCTCCCACACACCTCGGTTGGCTCCAGCTGGAAATAACTGAGTGATGCTTCTCAAGGCAAAAATAATTTATCTGATACCAATCAATTTTCCCAAGAATCAGAGTCATTTTTTTATTTGCTCCTAGATTGTTAATATCCAGTTTTTCTTCACTTGGTCCTTACACAGAAAGAAAATTATTATCAATGTCATATGTAATGTAAAAGAGGGTTTTCAATTAGTTTGCTTTGTTCTCTGATCTCATCTTCAGCTATTCGTCTGACATAAGCCAAATTTTAAGTGTTCTTTTATCAACATTCATTTACCATAATTAAAAACATACTCCTTTTTGAATTCTATTTTGAGGTAGAACTTTGATTTATCAAAACAGTTTCATACCTACATTTTTACATAATTATCACATTGAAAGAAAGAACGCTTCCCCTATGCTAATATTTGACTGTATATCTTTTTAAGGATACTATATGTATATAGAAGCATCCGACATGGTATATGGACAGAGAGCATACCTAACATCAAGAACATTAAGAGGGACTTCTGGAAAACTGTGCCTGACATTTTTCTATCACATGTATGGAGCTGGGACTGGATTATTGAGTGTTTACTTAAAAAAGGAAGATGATGAGGAAGAGATTCCATTATGGAGGAGAACAGGGGAACAAAGCATCTCATGGCTAAGGGGACTGATAGAATATGAAAGTGAAAAAAACCACCAGGTAAGCAAAACAAACAAAAAAGTCAAAAGGGAAAATTAAACTTAACTGTATGTTCAAATGGCAGTTTGGCTCTGCATAAAAAAAATGCAGACAGGATTAAATGGCCATTTGACCAACAAGCAGAAGCAATGAACTCGTTAGAATCATGAAACAGTGAGCTGAAAATATAAAAATAGTTCATTAATTCATTAACACATATTTAGGCTTGCTTAAATACATTATCACTTCCTGTCAGTAGGAGTCATTGTATTTGCTTTACTCATGCATTTTTAACTGTCCAAGGCCTTGTCTAGGTTTGATAAAACCTTGAAGAAGTTCTGATACTTTCAGGATAGGCTTTCTAAATTGTCACCATGCCAAGAGTTGCTGTAGGCTGGAGCTTTGCCTTTGATTTCAGCACTTCCAGAGAAAAAGATGACAGCTTTCTGTCAAAGAGAAAGCTGAAATTGCTCTCGACTGAAACTGTACTGATCACTAAGCAAAGATGTACTCATTTTTTTCAGTTTGCCTTAAGAGTCTGGAAACTATAAGAGAAAGTGAACTTTTACTGAAAAGCAAGCTTAGCTCCATGTTGCTCCAAGACCACAATGTACTATTTTTATACTTTATTTCTCCTCTCGAAACTTACCTGCCCATAATAAAGTGTAGCAAATAATCTGGGCTGAAAACCAAGATAGCAATATGGTAAAAATTGTCATAGTTTTATGAGAATAAACTCTCATAAATTTATCAGTATTTAAAACGCAACCATTCATCAGACTGTGACAACAAATCTCCTTCTTTCAACACAACTATATTCCCAGCTTTTCTGACCACAGTATTCAGACGGACTGCTGGAGAAACATGTTTATTTCCACGAAGCGGGCTTTCAGGATACACTCTGTGTCTTTTTCTCCAGTTCTTCACCCTCGATGTGGTATTCATGAACTTGTGCCTTACCTTTACAGATTATTTTTGAAGCAATTCGTGGGATATCAATAAGAAGTGATACAGCTGTTGATGATATTCTGTTCCAGGCAGGATCCTGCTTAGGTAAGCTAAATAAACCTTTTCTTAGGAGACACCTAGTATTTAGTGCAGTAATTTCTATAATTAGGTAGGTGGTACTTCTTCCTTTGAGTTCCCAGTGAATGAGTCTGATTTTAGCATCATGCTTCTGGGGTACTGCAGAATTTTTCCTTTTTTAGAAGATGTGAAAAATGAGAAAATCCTCAGAACTTGAACTAGCAATGATCTTATGGAACTACATAATAGCTGTACGGCCATTTCATTTAAAATCCAACATGACAATTGCATTCTTCTTAGGTGGAGTGATAAAAAAATGTAAGTAACTACAGTATTTCTCCCTTCTTTTTTAATTCCAGAAGTGGAAGAAATTCAGTTTTCATCAGGCTATCCCGACAGCTTAAATGAAATTGAGTTTTAAAGATGCTGCTGAAAGGAAAAAAGCAGAAAGTTTTTATGTGAGGAACTGCACAAACTACCTGTTTTAAAGCATGTTTTAAATAAATACTGGACTGTTTTGAATATTCACCGACATATAGGAAGAACTCAGAGCACTCATATACCTTGCCTTTGCAATGAAATTATTGACTCAGGGCTTCTTAGACTGTTTTTTTTTTTTTTTTTAAATTTCTTTTGCATGAGGTTTCAGTTACTATATAAAAGCTTCCCATTTTGCACACATCCTTAAATACTGTATTTTAATGCTTTTGTAAATCAAAGAGGAAAGTAGAGGTGCACAATTAAAACCTAGGGTTGTGTTTTCTTAAATCTGCATTCAGTGAATGTTTTGTGTTGGGTACAGAATGGATTTTTTAAAGGAAATTATAAATATTTTGAAGTAATAGAGAAAATAATACTAGCTATTAGTAGTATCCTGCAGGTTAAGTGCAATTATTCATGACGACAAATCTCTCTGGGAAACTAATATTTTGCTACCATTTTTTATGTTTTTGTATTATTTTACTATAATGAATATGTTTGTCATTCTTGTCGATAACAAATTGACTTTTAGTGTTTCAGTATAATTCAATGTAAGGTACTGCTGTTTTGAAAGGGGGATACTTACAGTTGATGCTGTAGCTTTTCTGGCATATATTTCCTTTTTTTTTTTTTAAATAAAATCAGTTTGTACACTCACACAGAATATAGTTGTCTTTTTTCACACTTTACCCAACCAGACGTGCCCTGCATTTATCTTAATAAGACACTGAGCTCAGTGATTTTTCGGAGTTCGTGTTTAAGACTTTGTTTTGAAACTATTCTAACTTCCTAGTAAAATCCTGCTTCAAAAAACATCTTATTGTTCTGCCTCAAACTTCAGTTACTGGCATAGTGAGAAACAACTGAACTGAACAGCTTAAATCCAATAATTTGAGTACTGGAAACAAGCAGAATGCGCATGTCACCTCATCCAGCCAGTGTCAGCTGCTGCTGCAGGGAGCTCCCACGCAGGGGACGCCTGGAGCCACCGCATCCAACCTCCTTCTGCAAGGCACGAACACGGAGAAACGAGAACGGCCTCCCCTGCTTTCAGCACAAAGGAGAGGGCTTTTCTAGCAGGCAGCACCTGGGATATGTTAGATTGGACTTCACATTGTTCTATGGCAGAACAGATTCTGCCAATTAAAAGGTGTTTTAGGACGTTTTTGAGACAAGGAGTGAAGGCCTAGCTCCTGGCATCTCTTGCTAGGAACGACTTCTCTCTGGGAAAAATGCCCTTTTTTCCCCCCCATTTCGGGGACATAAAAGCAATTAAAGAGGTTGTGCAATAAATACATTCAATAACATGACCACACAGCCTGAAACACAGAATATTATTTCCTAAAGATGGAGGAAGAGCCAAAAGAACTTAAGGAATTTTAACTGCCTGCCCCAACTACTTAGAGTCTCTCTTGGCAGCTTGTTACCAGTGCATTATTCTTGTTACCATATTCTGAAAATGAAAAGAACAGCCAGAAATAATGGACTTTTTCTGAAGAGTTTTGTAGTTGCTTTAAAGAGCTGATGTTTCAGCACCAATATTCACATCAAATTCACATCAAATTATAAAAGCAGAAAACAAATACTGTGATTAAAATCACAAGGCTTAGTGATTCAGCATACTTCTAAGGGAACTTTGTAATCAATTTAATAAAACACAGTGTGTAACCATTGGCTTTCTGTCCCTACGCTGGTGTCACTGAGAGCAGTATATACATTCATAGGGCGAGAGGTGCTATCCTGGCTGCAAAAGAAAACCTGCTGTTCTCCTTTCACAAGGGAAAAACAGCCCCTTTTTGTCTGTTACTGCCTCTGCAGGAGCTGAAGGATGGAGTGAAAATTTGAAAGCTGTCTTTAAAAGATTTTTATTATTTCTTAAACTAACCACTTGCTGGACTTCAGCCTATGGAATAGGCAAATTCCCCAACTACTGAAAGGCAACAAAACATCTAAAAAAACAAAAGCAAAAACAAACCCAAACAGAGACAAAAGCATTAAGATTGCTTCACTAGCAAACCTCGGTCCTATGTTGAGGTAAAACCATTCCATTAGCTCTGTCCAATTCTGAAACTCCCTGTGCAACTAATTTCCACCCTGGATCCCTTTTCATTTATTCTTAGTTCCTTTCCTGTCACTGGAATAGCTCTAAAAAGACTTTAGCAGGACGAAGAGATGAGACTGCACTGTATTGGGCATGTTTGCTGTCAGGTAAGTTCTCTGAAAGCTGCGAATACAAAAGAATCCACAAGTAATTGCATGGAGCCTGGTTGTGCCACAAAACGTCTATGAAAAAAGAAAACTTCAAAAGCTACTTTAACACACCAAACACTAAAGGGCTTGTATTTGTCTGCTGTAAACATAGCTTTGTGCTGCAGCCAAACCGAATTTATCCTGAAAGCAAGGGAAAAGCCCTTTTTGTTGCTTGTTCAATTCCCGTTTTATTTCAATATTTCCAATTGGCTGACATTTTGCCCTATCCTGAATACTTAACTAAAAAGAGGGCCAAATTTTGATCCGAGTTGCCCCTATGAGAAAATAGAATAACTGCACAAAGCAATTACTCTATGCAAATACCCTAGCTTTGCATAAATGTAATGCAAGTAACATTCTGGTCTAGTACTGTATTAGAGCTAAACAAACCCGACAAAGCTCTGCAGCTGAGCGTGGAAAAAAATCTGGCATTTGTTTAGCTGGGTTTGGATCCAGCTTCAAATTATGACTTCCAGCACTCACGGGATCTGCGGCTCCTGTGCTACCCTTCAAGGCAAGGGCTGAGGAGGACACACTTCTCCTCCACCCTGACACGCAGAGTCCAATACCCCTCACACATGGAAGACCAAACACCTGCCTCCTGCTCTCTCAGACCAACACTATGAGCTGCTGCTTTCACGTGTAGCCTTTCCCTTGGAAAAAGGTTTCCATTAGTCATTACGAGTTTATTAGGTGCTTAGCAGTGAACAGATGAACTTTCAAGTCTCCTTTATATTAATTTGGTCAATATTCATCTTCTCCTTCATGTGTTGTTTTCCTGACTCCATCTCTGTCCTCATCCCATTTTTATTTCCTACTTGCTTCTGGTTTCTCTGAAGACCAGCATTTCTACCTGCCCTTTTTGGTCTCTTTCAGAGCCCTGTACATATTAGGTTACATTCCCTTTCTCACTGCTAAGCTGTGTGCTCCATCTAGCTGCTTTGAAGTCCTGCATTAGCTTTCGAATCTTCATCCTATTCACTCAAGAACTGTTCTTGACCCAAATGCTCTGACTTTTTTTTTTTTTTTTTTTAAGCTCTTAATAGTATTCACACCCTCCAGGCCCCAAAAAATCTGGCCTGGCAGATTCTGTAGATTTCTTCATCAGGCTCTAGCAGCGAAATGTAGGCACAGTTAATCTAACCTTTAACTGGGAGGATCTTTTAGACTGTAAGTTTGGGACTTCAGTGATCGGATACGCTACCATTTTTAATGATTAAGCAAAACAGAATTACAAAGACTCACAGAAGGGTTAAGAATGGAAGGGACCTCTAGAGATCATCTTGTCCAACCTCCCTGCTCCAGCAGGGACACCCAGAGCACGTGGCACAGGGTGGCATCCAGGCGGGTTTGGAAGATCTCCAGAGCAGGAGACTCCACAACCTCTCTGGGCAGCCTGTTCCAGGGCTCTGTCACCTTCACAGGAAAGAAGTTCTTCCTCACATGGAGATGGAACTTCCTGTGGTTCAACTTGTACACATTAGCCCTTGTCCTGTCACTGGCCACCATGGAGAAGAGTTTGGCCCATCCTCCCTACATTCTCCCCTCAGGTGCTTATACATATTGATCAGATCCCCTCTTAATCTTCTCTTCTTCAGGCTAAACAGGCCCAGCTCGTTTACTCTTTCCTTGTACCAGAGATCCTCCAGTCCCTTCATCATCTTTGTCACCCTACACTGGATTCTCTCTAGATGTTGCCCATCTCTCTCGGCCCCTCCCTGCGGGAGCCCAGAACTGCACCCAATACTCCAGGCGTGCCCTCACCAGAGCTGAGGAGAGGGGCAGGATCAGCTCTCTCAACCTGCTGGCAACGCTCCTCCTCATGCAGGCCAGGATCCCATTGGCCTTCTTGGCCACAAGGGCACACTGCTGGTTAACTTGTTAACCAGGACTCCCAAATCCCTTTCCACAGAGCTGCTTTCCAGCAGGTGAACCCCTAATCTGTCCTGGTGCCTGGGATTATTCCTCCACAGGGTCAGGACCCTGCACTTGTCCTTGTTGAATCTCAGGAAGTTCCTCTCTGCTGAACTCTCCATCCTGTCTAGGTCTCTCTGAAGGGCAGCACAGCACTCAGGAGTGTTGGTCACTCCTCCCAGTTTGGTGTCATCTGCAAATTGCTGAGGGTGCACTCTGTGCCCTTGTCCAAGTCATTGATGAACAAGTTGAAGAGCACCAGGCTCAGTACTGACCCTTGTGGGACACCACTGGTCACAGCCTCCAACCAGACTTGGCCCCATTTATCACCACTCTTTGGGCTCTGCCATCCAGACAGTTCTCGATCCACTTCACTGTCCACTCATCTAACCCACACTTCCTCAGCTTCCCCATGAGGATGTTACAGGAGACTATGTCAAAAGCCTTCCTGAAGTCCAGGTAGACAATATCCATGGCTTTTTCATCATCTACCTGGCCAATCATCCCATCATAGAAGGCTATCAGGTTGGTCAAACAGGACTTACCCTTGGTGAATCCATGCTGACTACTGCTGATCACCTTCTTGCCCTTCACATGCCTACTACTCTAAGGTCTCTAAGATGAGCTGCTCTACCTCCAAGGGATGGAGGTGAGGCTGACCGGCCTCTAGTTTCCTGGCTCCTTCCTCTTGCCCTTTTTGAAAGCTGGAATGATTTTGGTTTCTTCTACCCCTCAGGCACTTCCCCTGCTCCCCATCACCTCCCAAAGATGATGGAGAGCAGCAGAGCAAGAACCCTCAGCACTCCTGGGTGCATCCCATCTGGACCCCTAGGTTTATGGGTGTCCAGTTTGTCTAAAGAATCCCTAATCCAATCGTCCTCAGCCAGTGGAAAATCTTCCTCTCTCCTGGTTCTCTCTCTTGTCTCCAGGCTCTGTAGCTCATGGGGACTGGCCTTAGCAGTAAAGACAAAAGCAAAGAAGTGACTCTGCCTTTGCTGCATGCTCAGACTCCTCCCTCACCAAGGCACTCTCCCCATTCAGCAGGGGTCCCACATCTTCCCTAGTCTTCCTCTCACAGCTCTTGTATTTGTGGAAGCCCTTCCTGCTGTCCCTGACATCTCTTGCTAACTCTAATTCCAAACGGGCTGTGGCCTTCCTTGTTGCATCCCTGCATTCTCTCACAATGTTCCTATATTCTTCTCAGGTGGCCTGACCCTTCTTCCACATTATTCTACATACTCTTTTTCTCATCAAGTTTACCCAACAGCTCCTTGTCCATCCACACAGGTCTCCTGCCCACCTTGCTCCACTTCATTCTTGTAGGAATGTACCAATCCTGAGCTTGGAGAAATTGGTGCTTGAATATTAGCCAACTCTCCTGGAGTCCTGTCCTGTCCTTCTAGGACTGTGGCCCAGGGGATTCCTCCAAGGAGGTCTCTGAAGAGGTCAAAGGTTCAAGCTCTCTGGAAGTCCAGGGCTGCAATCCTACTTCTTGCCCAGCTTCCTCCTTGCGGAATTGTGAATTCTACTATCGCAGGGTTACTGCATGCAAGACTTCCCCCAACCCTCCCATTTCCCACTGGACCATCTCTGTTTGTTGGTATCAGATCCAGCAGAGCCTCTCCCCTTGTTGCCTCATCTACCACCTGTGTCAAGAAGTTATCTGCAATGTACTGCAACAGAAAACACCACCAAGGAACTAATAAATCAATTAACTCATAATCTAACTAGGTAAACACATATCAGTTAAACTTATGGTTATACCTCACAATTACCAGAAATCCTGTGACACACCATTAGTATTTAATTGCAGAATGTTAAATCTTTCCCTGCCTCACCAGCGAGGGCCCAGGTGCACACCAGCACTTTGGATGTTCCTGGTCTCCTCTCCCACTCCAAGCTTTCCCGCATTGAACCCTTCCAGAGCTTTGCACCTTCTCCAGAAGGGTCATCTCACATCCCGTCTGAGGCCCATCAGCCTGTTAGAGCCCATAGACATCTGCACTCCCATTTTTTGCAAGAACTCTGCTGAAACAACCCCCTTCATCCTTTATTTTGCATCTGGACAACCTTTTATCTATTGTCCTTTTTCACTGCCCTTTTACCTCCTTTCCTACACAGGAACTGCCAGGGAAACACTTTGCCCTGTGGTCCCAATTCCACTGCTCCTGTACGGCCATAGGACTCTCTCGGTCCTCTAGGACATTCCTGATGCCACACGGGTACCAGTGGCCTCAGACGCCTCTGGGCACCGAGTCTTTGTGCAGCCACCGGGAGGCCGCAGGGAAGCGGGAGCCGGGGGAGCCGGGGACGGCCCCGGTGCCGCCCGCGGGACACGGCGGCTCCGCTCGGCCGGGCC